CTCTTGTTCTTCTTGTTTCTTTTGCTGTTCTTGTATTGCTGCCATCAAATCTGCTAAGCTGTAGTTTGATTTGCCATTTCTCGTTTCCATCTTCTTTTTCTTCTCTTCTCTCTTTTTTTTTGTTCAGTCCCTCTCTCTGACACCATTTTTTTAATCCTGTAAAGTCCCAGTGGAGCATAGGGCCCCAACAACACCTCACCAACGGAAGGTGTTGTTGCAGTTACTTGTAGCAGGTTGGTTTTTACGAGGTGGAGTTGCTAGCCCCGCGCCCAACCCTCCTCCTTTCTCATCCTAGACTTGGGATCAGGCAAAGGTGGAGGTTGGCATGTTTGGTGTGACGGGGATTCGAACCCGCGACCCTCAGATTACGACTCGAGCTCCCTAACCACCTGGCCAAATATATCTATGTAGTTCAGAAAGACTGTAATGAAAATAATTGAAGGAGTATAAAAGAACATTAACAACATTTAAAATACATTTAAAAACACAAAAAGTTTATAATAACATTCTTGAAGAAGTACAAAAAAGAAATCAACAATGTAGAAAAAAAAATCAATGACAGAATAAAATAAATGGAAGATGAACTGGTAAATGTAAGGATAAATTTCACATCTCCTTCTGTACTCACCCCAAAATTATTTCAAATATCATTAATTATGAAATAAGAACATGAGAACTTATTTGTTCTATGTTTGTTACCACCACTATTGTGTCATCTGTGATTATTCTAGTTATACTGTTACGTCATCATGTCATGCTGAAAAACTAATAGCTTTTAAACATATGCAACTCATGCAATTTCATGGGGTCCGAGACAGAAGAAGTCTCTTACCATCGTCTGCTGTTCTGGCTCAATTACCTTGGCAACAAATAAAATTAGCGTACCAAAAATCCAATTATATAAGGAATCTCGTCTGTAAACAATAAACTTATATATTCTTTTACAATTTTTGTTCCCACTTCAAAGTACAGTTTTATATTTGTTAAGAAACTACGATCCCCTGAAAACACAACTATCCATGTCTTGTTTCTCACGTGATTTTCCTTCTCTCTCTCACTGGTTTTTCTAAGTACTGCTAACTTCCATTCTAACTCTTTAACATTCATACTCTCTCTGTGAGTTTGTTTTGTTTTGGAATTATTGCAGTAAAATCCAATATCTTGGTTGTTAAGCACAAAGTTACAATAGGCTATCTGTGCTGTGCCAACAGTTCCCACCATCGGTATCAGAACCAACCCGATAGTTAACTTTGTAAGCCTGCAGATTTACTGCTGAGGAACTGGGGAGGGGTATATGCAATATATTCAGTTATATGGTGTAGTTGATTGGTGGATTTGGTAAAAAATAGGTGATAAGGACATCAGAATCAAACTTTGCATGGAGCCACTGCAGGACAACTGACCCTGCAGTCTTGCTGGCCAGTTGAACAACATCGCCAATTTAAGAAACTAATAAAGCTATGATGGGAAGGTACCATGGTAAGAATATCTAACCCAGTTCAAAATAGTTTCAAAAGTGAATGGCTGGAATAGGGAACAACAAAATTTTCATCTTGCTGTTTATTTAGAATGGCTAGCTTTTACAATATTAAATGAGGAAGTTTATATCTTAAGGATCAGAATATTCCATCTGCCTAACAAAAATAAAGGGTGAATTATTTAAAGAAAGTAGTCTATGAGTCAACTGGTTTATTAATGAGAAACCTTGTTGTGTTCTAATCGATGTTGGTTCTATAGTTACAATTGTTCAACCCAACCTGGTAGTAAAAGTGGGAATTATACACTAAGATGAAGAAAGATGATGAATCGACGTGAACAGCAAGTAGGCATAAACTTCCAGCAAGAGAAGAGAGATGTAACAACGCAAAAGAAGATTTGGTGGTTCAAACCAAGGAAAACCCCCTGAGATTGTCTTTGAAAGGGTGTCAGCGAGAGAAGATCCAATTGCTTGGCTTCAGCGAAGACTCACCAAAAGCTAGTCGACACGCTGGAAAGCCCAAGGATCCTATCAAGACTACTTCCAGAGTATCACCAAGGATGGAGCTATAAATGACCATCCACCTTGACAAGGCTGCAAATGACGGTAAAGGACAAGAGATTATATTATATTTGTACCACATATTACAGAAGGGAAAACAACCAAAACATTTTATGAGAATTTGCTCCTGCTGAAGAAAGTTCATCTTTTGAAAGTGACCAGGTTATAGGGTAATTTAGACACCATAAACACGAAAGAAATATTGCCTTTTTATAATAAAAATTCGGATTTTTTTGTGTTTTGTATTGACTTAATAATTATAGTATGGGATGTACGAATATTAATGTTGTTAATCGCAAGTAGTGAATTAATTAGTGATTATGGAATCCTAAAGTTTATAGTAATGTTGTTTTATCTGTGTATTAGGATTGGTCAGGAGAATTCCACAGTCCAGGATTGGGGCAAGGTTGTTAATTACGTTTTGATCTAGACGTTTCACATTGTTGCTAGAGGGAGTTTGGCACGAATTAATGATGATGTGCGATGTCTAGAAGTGATGTGATATGAACACTCGACGTCTCGAATTATTAAAAAACGTGAGGAAATTGTATGACGATATCAAAACACCAGAAGATTGTTAAATAGTTAGACAGTAAGAAAGTGATTGATTACAACTTGACAGTTCTGGGCTGGTCAATGAAAGACAAAATAAATCCTATTTTTATACGCCTCTCATTTTCAATCCGCCATGGACAAATTTAAAACGTGGAAAAAACAAACAATCTACAGATAACGTGATTTTTATTAAAAATTTTAGGCCTATTGGTTTCTAAGGTTTTGGCATCCAAACCGTTAAATTTAACGAAATATAGTTTAATAATGCTTGGAGACGGCTTGAATGGGTAACGAAGAAAAAACTTTAATGTAAGTTTAACATAACAGTAAATGTACAACGTCTCGACAAGGTTTTGTCATCATCAGTAAAAAACCTTGTCGAAATGTTATACATTTGCTGTTATGTTAAATTTACATTAAAGTTTTTCTTCATTACCCATTCAAGCCGTCTCCAAGCATTATTGGTCTCAAAGTGGGTTCCTCGTCATCGAAATATAGTTTGTTTGTCGTTTAACACAATTAAAGATATACAATGGGCTATCTGTTCTGTGTCCACTACGGGAATCGAAACCAGATGTTTAGCGTTATAAAATATAAGCCTTTAGAACCATGTAATATTTCAACGTTTCGAAGAATCTTTCGTCTCCCATTGTCCAGCCCAACTGACGAGATTCTGGTATTAGCGAAAGACCTCTAATAGTGATTTGTGGTACACAAAACATGGATTTGAAATACTATTTTTACATGCCTTTGATTTGTAATTCGCAATGGACAACTTAAGAGGAGTGTGGTGGTTTAAAAAAATATGTAGCTAACGCGAGTTTTGTCATCAATTATAGGCCTCTCGAAAAACAATGGGCCCGGCATGGCCAGGTGGTTAGGGAGCTCGACTCGCAATCTGCGGGTCGCGGGTTCGTCCCACCAAACACGCTCGCCTTTTCAGCCGTGGGGGCGTTATAATGTGACGGTCAATCCCAATATTTGTTGGTAAAAAAGTAGCCCAAGAGTTGGCGGTGGGTGGTGATGACTAC